AGATAATCTCCCTAGAGATCAGCGGCCATCGACACCTTTCGCTGCTATCTAATCGTCTCCCGATGGATGGGGTGCGACGCTCTCCATATTTGCATGCAGGCACTGACCTGTGCCAGGTGCACCCATTAGTCCTGTGCTGTAGTTGTGTGCAAACACACCCCATTGAGCTCTTCATTCCACTAAGTGAACACAGCAGAAGCAGAGTACTGTCTGGCCTGTTACGTCTAATTTGCATGGATTATCCACACACCACCGCTGAGGTATGAGAGGATATTGTTTTTTAAACAAGGCTAGGTGATGTTTATGCCACATATATGAGTCTGTCATTTGAGAATAGATGCATGTATTCAACTTTCTGGCTGTTCATGCAGGTGTTTCTCACCTGCCTAAGTGTGTGTGACAGACAGAACGAGTTGAGCTGAGTTCTCACCAGCTTCAGGTTTCCAAGGAGCCCAGTGGCTGTTGAGTCCTTTAACCCCTGGTGCCTGAGGCCACTGTGTTTCCAGCCCTCTGACAAAAAAAACAATCTGCCTCAACACTCCTCCTAGACCTCAAGGACACAGGCCAACTCATTGCTTTGCCCACAGCTGATCTACCACTTCGTACTTTTTACACGATCTGTCAATCTAACCTCTCTTTCTCTCGTTGAATCATGCTCAAGGCACCATCTGGGCTTTTCAATAGGCCTCATTAATGCCACCATTGTCCAGAGCGGCTCCCTCTCAGGCTATCTGGTCATTAAGGACGCTTAGTGCAAAACACATCACATATCGTAAAATAACATATCTGCTACGCTCCCTTCTCTCCCCTACAGGAGTGAATTTGAAACAGTATAGCAATATGAGTAGGATATCCCCCTGAGCCAGGATGGCTGAGGAACTGATATGGTAACTGACAGAAGGATGCTGTAGATGGAGATTCTGGAAGGGAGTGTAGAGCTGGCTGGAGAGTTACTTCAAACAGTCTTTGTGGCAGTATTGTTGAAAAAAAAATCCCCAGAAGTTTTGCTATGTGTGTTGCAGTGCCAATGCAGTGAGCAGCCGTGACGGCCTGGACACAGAGACAGGGACAGAGTCTCTGCTGAGCCACCGCAGAGAGCGTGAGAGAGAGCGAGCACGCAGGAGAACTCGAGAGACTGAGCGTAAGTATCATCAGCCAAGACTGGACTGGTTTATATAGTTAAAAAATAGGATTTTTTTTGGTGTGCTCACCTATACTTACACAAATTGAGCCTTTTACCTTTTGGCATTTTAAATCACTACCTGTAATTTATTTCTTTGGTATTTGATGTTGTAGAACAAAGCCAGTTTGCCTGCGCCTCCAGACTACCTATCTATGTAAAGCTGTCCTTGCCAGTTCTGCTGGTTTAGGTTTGCATTTGTGCCATAATTGTCCCATCATTACCTCGGAAAGTGCTCCTTAAGGTGTTAAAAGCAACTTGGTGCCTGATTCCAGTAGTCATTGGGCAAGATGGAGGGAAGACCCTGAACAGGTCACCAGCCCTTATAGGGGTGACAAAGAGTTACACAGTACAAACGACCAGGCTCTTATAAACTTACATTTATGGGGTATTTTGAGAGACCAGTTTACAGTCATAATTTTTTAACTGAAGGAGGAAGCTGGAGTACCAGGGCAAAGCCTAAACATACACAGGGAGAGCATGTAAATGAACCCAGTTTGATATTCAAAGTAAGGACCTTCTTCCTGCTAGGGTAGGGTAAGTCATTGACAGGTTCTCTGCATTGGATGTGTTAAGCTTTATCAAGTGGTATCAGGTTAAATAAGAATCAATACAAATGCCCCTTTTTTAACCTTTATTTGTAAAAAGAACCACATACGATTAGCTTCCCAATGTTCCACACTACGCTACTTTCTATTGGCCACACAGGATGCTTTGAAATTAAATGACATTTTAGGCCCTTTTGTGAGAAAACTGATGAAGCAGAAAGAGCATTAATACTTTTACAAAACAGTGTGTGTCGTGAAAGAAGCCTCCTGGCATTGAGCGGTTCATCTTGTGCAATCACCAGGGCACACCGAGAATCACATCCGAATCAGAAGTGAATGAGTTCACTGTCCTAAAGTTACTGGAATTTACTGCCTTGCCCGATAATCCTCTGCTTTCTCTATGTGTGTCTCAGGATTATGAACGGAGGGTGATTTCCTTCTGCCAGTCACACTCAACTCTGCAAGCATGGTTAGATGCTGTCATAGAACTGTTTTTGGGGAAATCTGTGGGAGTTGTTTCTAGAATACCGACCACTCTAAAATAGTCAGTTTGGAAAATATATTCTCAACTAAGGAGACAATGTAGTTAAAACATGTTTTCATGTCACAGGTTGGGCTTCTCCTACTCTGTGGTTGCTGTTTATAGCTGAACTGGATCTCCCTCTCCCTCTGTGTCTGCTTCCCCCTGTCCTCTCTTTGCAGTGAGCCTGGCTCCTCGCATCCTGCGCTGCTGGCTCATTAACCGAATACTCATTAATTCATGTGGTGCAATTAGTGTAACAGAGCTCAGCGTCAGTTTGGGGTTGTAGGAAGGGCTTTCATATGCTGAAATCACGTTCAGCCATATTCTTAAGTGTTGTTTTTCATGTTTTACCGTGTTTCAGCAAAAACTTCCCTGCATTTTATTTGAATTTTATACAACGAAGAAGAAATGCAGAGGATAATTGTAAAAATGGATAGAAAAAAACTTTCATCAGTTTTTATTTAAAAAAAAATGTGGCTTGCATTTTTTACACTTTGATCTTATACCTTGAAAATAAAATGCGGTGCATTCAGATATTAGCTAGTCCACATGTGTTACTTATTGTAAGATCTTGAAAACTAAGAGAAGGTCTCCAAAGTGTTTTAGAGAAACTTACTGAACAAACAGCATAAAGGTACACACCCTAGGATAAATTTAAAGCAGGAACAAGTCATACAATCAGTCAAACATTTATGAAAAAATTATGAAAAAGACTTGCTTATCCACATCAACTGACAAGCTAGATAGGGAGTACATTAATTAAAGCCAAGAGACTCATGGTAACTCTGGAGAAGCTGTAGAGATCCACTGCCTTGGAATGTATCATTCTGCTAAATCTGATCCTCATTAAAAAGTGGTAAGACCTAAAACTACTCACAAAGGAAACCTTTAAGTAGTTTTGTATAAAGCTTATCACAATCCATTTAGAGGAAACAGTAAATACATGGATGAAAGAAAAGTCCCATGTCAGATGAGAGCAAAATGTGTCTTTTATCATCTCAACATGAAGACATCCACTCCACTGAAAACATGGTGCTGGCAGCATCATGCTGTGGGTATGATTCTCTGCAGCAGGGACAAGGGAGATGGTTCAGAATTGATGGGAAGATAGATAGACTTGAATACGTATCGATCGTGGCAGAAATATGTTAGAGGCTGCAAAGGGATGTGGACAATAACAATACAGCTAAAGCTGCAACGGAATAATTGGGCTGAAAACGTTAATAACCTTTACTGTGTTTTATTGCTGTAGAAGTATATTAGCTGTTTGCTATGGCCTACATGTGTTTCTCATGTTGTACAATTATCCTCTCCCACATGGTCTTGGTTTGTAGAAAAGAAAAGAGTTGGTTTATTCCATTCGTGTCGTAAAAGCAAAAATACAAAGATTCCAGTTTAAGCAACTTTGCTGCTTGATAACATCTTAACATTCAAGACATGGTAAGAAAACCGCATGGCTCCACAGCTAAAACAACATCTACCGGTACTTGTTTCTGTTAAACACCTTGATGTCTTAAAGCCACAGTCCACAAATATCTAAGAAAGAATTAGCTCTTTTTTTAGTTTAAAATGTTAAACTCAACTGACACAAATTAAACTCTAATATCAAAAAGAAATACTTGTTTACTTTCTTTTATAATACGGATCAAATAAAGACAAAGTCTTAAATAGTACACAACATATAAATGAATACTAAATGAGTTTGCCTTATACACTATGTTACAGTCACATTCAAGCCCTAAATCTAATTAATAACATGTTGTAAGCCTTGAAAAACATTATTCACAACTGCTGTATGTATAACCTGGCTGATTCAAAGCTATTTTACAGAGGATAGGCCAAAATCTCCTTCTGTAGAGCTATAAAACAAATAGAAACACCTCAATTCAGGACCATTTCACAAAACATTAAGACAACGTTGGTATCATTAGAAATGCATTTTACACTTCAGATGTTGTTCTTATTTAAAAAATACAAAAATAAAAATTTTTCTTCATTCCATTTAGGAAGGAATACTTCTATAGGGGCTCTTTATCTCCATTTTTTTTTCTTGTTGTTTAAAGGTTCCGGATTTGGCAGCAGATTCCTTATCACTTTTGTTGGAAGTGCGTTGAGCATCTGCTGTTTTGTTTTTTGAGTGAAATATAAGCAAGAAAAAAACAAACCGGGCATATTCCTGTGTCCTCCAGTGCGATTACGTGTGGGACGTATCGTATAAGCCCCTCTTTCCGTCTTGCTGCCCCTTATTGCCTGTAAGTTTGTTAGAGCTAATTAAATGAAACCAGCAGAGGGAGCCAGGATGGCCCCTTAGGGCTCACCAGCAGCTCATAAATCTGGCAAGCAGGGTCTGGTGAAATGTAATTTAATTTGGCTCAGTGTAGAGATGTGAAGACATATGAAGAAGGAAGTCACAGGGCCCCGCCTCACTGTCCTGCTGCCTCCAGCATCGTGATCATCAGCAACAGCAGGAATTTCCCTGACACATTATCCTCATGCTTTAGGTGATTCCTCCTCAGATTGAGTGATCACTGTTTTACAGTGTTTAACCACAGTAAACATATCCCTTCACATCTGAAAATGAAAAATGCAACAGCTGACATTTTCACAGGTCATCTACATGGTCTGGAGAATACTCATATTTTACAGTTGTGCAAAAGTATAAACAAATTAAAAAAAGTTTGGAGAAATACAGTTCAGATTTATTTCCAGAATTATAAAGATGCTTTTATTTTTGCTTTACCCTTTTCTGATGTTCTTTTTTCTCTTCTTTTCTGCTTATATCTTTTGAATCATTCCTTTCTGCGTCCTATCCCCTTTTTTACTGTCCTACCTTCATTTTGTCTTTCATTCCCAACTTAAATGGCATTACTCTTCACCCTCGTGTTCAGACACATATTTTGTTTCCTTCTTTGCCTATGCCACTGCATACTGCTTTTCTTCCTGCGATCCCATGTGTTCTTCCTCTTGCCCCATCTTGTGACCCTTCTTTCAGTTTTCTTTCCCTCCGTGTGTCCCTCCTTCCTCTTTTTACTCCTCCTTCCTTCCATCTTTGTGTCTTTCCTTCTTTCTTTCCTGTCCCTCCTTCATTTTGCCATGAATTATTTCCCTCCTCTCCCAGTTTATGCCCTTACTTTGTTCCTTTTATTATTCCTTTCTTCCAGTTTCTGGATCTTGCAGGTGTTTTTTTTTTTAATTATTGTATTCTCTATTGGATTCTATTGGACCGAAAGATAGTGTGAAAGCACCGTGAGTTTAGGATGTGTCTTATCCGGAGGACAACGAAGGATCGGGGGGAGAATGAAACTTTTTAAGAGAAAAAAATGGTATTGAGAGTGTTTTTGTCACATTAACAGTAATGATTTTCCCTCTGCTATCTGGATTGAGGTCAAAGAAGACACAGCAAAGCCAAAGTACTTATGCCAGTATTAAAGTATTAACAGGAAGCAGAAAAAAAATTGCTGTTGAAATTAAACCTCTTTTTTTGTTTTTAATTGAATATTGTGTTGATTGTGATTTTTAGGATTTATGTGGTATGTAAATATTTCCACTAGAGTTGTTTTTACCTGAAGAACGAGGGTAAACGATACAAAGTGGTCTTAAATCCCGAAACCAATGTTCTCTGATGGTGCCTGGGAGAATCCTGTCATCTGATTGGTTAGAGGTGGATTAGTATGAGGGGCTACTGTATAGTTGCGTGACATATGAGGAGCTAGGGAGGAAGGGAGGAGAATTTTTTTTTTTCACTTTGTCACTTTGGGATGTACTGTTGATGAGGTGAGGTCTCGTCTCGTTAAACATTCAGGGTTTATTTACTGTGATAGCATTTTCATTGTTTAAGAGTAATTTTTTGTAACCTGTTAATCATCCTGTTTTATTTTAATATATATCTTCAAATTATGATTTACATTGTTAAACTTAATGTCTTAATAAAATATCAATATTTGTTTGAGGGACATTTGATGATTTTAAATTAAAAGGGTCATCATTTAAACTTTGGTGGTTTGTTTAGTTGAAAAGTAACAGCCTTAAAATTCTCTCTTGTTTTTGGACGACTTTCTGCTTATTCTGTCTTACTGTCCCTGTCTCCATTGTAGATAAGCTGTGAAGGCTGTGAGCAGACAGCTGGTGGGCTGAGGCTTAGAGAGCGGCTGGCACCACAAACACACAGATTTTCAGGCTGGCTCCTTGAACTTGTGCATTTGGGGGTTTTTTGTTTGTTTTTGTTTTCTCTGGCGGTAGAGAGAAATATGTCTTGGTGAGAAAACTGGCGCTGTTCATGTGCAGTAGCTCAGTTTACGTAAGGGTGGAGCTAGTCATGGAAACCCCTGCGTTGCTGGAATGTTTTGCTTGCTCAAGGCGAAAACAAGGTAGGCCACGCCCTTTTCGCCTTATCACACCTTTCCGGCAGATCCGCTGTCACCCTGAGACAGCGCCACGCCAAAGGCAATGTACGTATGGATAAGGGCAAGAATTCATTTTAAACTTTAGGGGCTCTACATTTCCAGCTTCCATTTCTGTCCGATTCTTAGTTTAACAGTTTAAAGCTTCTCCTCCTGCAGATCTAGATTTCTCAGCACCCTAATAAACCCCATCCTGTTCTCCTTCTCCTTTTTATCCGAGCCCACAGAGATCAACATGACCTCAACATCTGACTCACAGCTCTTCTGCCCTCTTTTTCTCTGCAGTCCCTCGCATCAACGGACACTCTAAATCCGAGCGTACAGCGAGGGACTCGGCCATGGGTTACGACAGTGCCTCAGTAATGAGCAGCGAGTTGGACTCCAGCTCCTTTGTAGACAGCGAAGAGGATGAGGATGCCAGCAGGTAACATACTACATCACTTTAAAATACCTACTTCCAAACCCACAAACAACAAAAACTTTGTGCTGAGATAAGAGTTTACAAAAGTAGTGTTTTTTTTTCTCTCAATTTTTTTAGATATAAAACAGAAATTAATATTAGACCAAGATAACTAGAATAGAATATTATTTTTTAACCTCTCAAAACGGGTACCAAACGAGCACCAAAGCACAATTAACACAGCCACAACATTCAAGCATGCCTTTATAACTGCTGTTCAAAAAATACCTATTATTTTCGAGAATTAAAAAAACTACTTTGAGTCTTGTTTGAACTGATGCAGCTTGGGCTTGATGCAGCTTGGGTGTTCTGCTCACCCAATTTTCATGTATAAATTCAGAAACTGGAGGGTGTTAGCTTTCAAATAATGTATCACACATGAAATTTGGGCTTACAGTCCCTAAGTTATTTGCTTTTCCATTTGGGTATGCAAATTAGGTGAGAATTTCCCAAAAACAGGTGGATATTAAGAAGATCAATAATTTATGAACAATTTCATTTAAATTTAGGAGCTTTCCAGAACAACCTGGTCGTGTATAAAAAGTAGTTTTCCCCCAAACCTAAGTTCCTGAGCTAAAGGCAGCACGACAAATGTGGAGGAATTTACCAGAGGATTTTTGTGATATGAATAGTCATGCCATTATTTCATCTGGATTTAAATCCAGACTAGGTCTCTCTTAAATCTTTTTTTCTTAGCCATTAAGAAGTAAGCCTGGTGACGCTCTTCAGATCATTACCCTAAATCCAGGTTTGGGTCACAAGCTGATAGTCAAACATTCTCCTTCAGGGTTTTCTACTAAAGAGCATAAATCATGGATTCATCAGTTACAGCAAACTGCCGAGCTCTAAAGCAACAAAGCAGGCCTAAACCTTCACACTGCCACCATCCATGCTTAACTGTCTAAATATGTTTTTCTGAAATGCTGTTACTTCTGCATGAAATGTTACTTTGTTCATATCTTGCAAAAGTTACCTGTTTTGTTTTCAGTCCTTGAAATATTTACCAAAAACTCACAAGGATCACTAAGATGCTAAACATGAGCTGGGCCTTTGTGGGTTTTTGGGTCGGCAGTGGTTTTCTTCTTGAAACATGAGGCCATTTTTAACAATCATAAACACTGACATTACTAAGTCAAGTGGGGCCTGCTCTAGATGCCAACCTGTGTTCTTTTATTACCAAACATTAGAGTTGTTGATGCAGTCTTGCTGTAATTTTGGTAGCTGCTTACTCTATTTGAAGGTTCACTAATGCTAATAATTTGTTTTATAAAGACTTTATTAGCACTTCCTTAGCGATAGATTCTATTGGCTTTGATTCTAATTTAGTCTTCAATGTATTTAGATACTTCATGTTGTCAGTTAGGTTCCATTTTAGTGATTTTTGTTAATACTACATGATGTTTAAATAGTTGAATTGATCTTAAATTTTCAGAGTAATATGGTGATTAATTACATTTGCAAAGAGAAAGTCCAAGGCCTTGAGTCCAAGGGTTGTGGTGTTCTCTCAGTGCATTTCCTGCATTCTCTCCTGGTCTTCTTAGTTACTCCTAAAATGAAAATAAAGCATCTACAGTGATTGTCCTGTGTGCATGCATGTATAATTGTCTTAAATGTCTCCATGTTACCTTGTGAAGGATGGACGGATGAGCTGTCCAGAGCTGGTGTAACATTTCTTACACACTGTAATTGTTTTTTAGGATCATCCAAGTTTATTGTTTTCCTGTGGTTTCTTGCAAACAAAACATTTTCATTTGTCTCCTCACTATTGCCTCTCCCAATTATGTAATGATGGATGGAGTTTGCTCAGATACAAAATGTAGCTTAGGGACTTTAAACAATCTAAGGTTGACTTGACTTTTTCGACCTTGGTTTGAATCTGCTCCATTCAACTCCCCACCCCCCACCCCCCTCTCTTTTTAACCTACTGTTTTCCTTCTGTGTGTTTCAGGCTCAGTAGCTCCACAGAACAAAGTTCTTCTTCACAGCTCATGCGCAGACACAAGCGACGCAGACGGAGGCACAAAATGGCCAAGATAGACCGGGTAGGCACTTCAAAGCCCATCACTGCCTGAGCAGAAATGAATGCTGATGCCGAGCAGCGGAAACAGATGAGAGAGTTGATCGATATAGACTTCATGCCGCTTTTTATTTACCCTGTTCTCACTGCAAACCTCCTCTGCCCTTTCTAGTCTTCATCCTTCAGCAGTATCACAGACTCCACTATGAGCCTCAATATCATCACTGTTACACTCAACATGGGTAAAATCAGTTGTGTACTTTGCCTTATTTCCCCACAACAATTTACTTATTTTTATTCATACTTGTATTTCTTTTGCTTTTTGCAGAAAAATACAACTTTCTGGGCATCAGTATTGTAGGTCAAAGCAATGACAGGGGAGATGGAGGCATTTACATTGGCTCCATCATGAAGGGAGGAGCTGTAGCTGCTGACGGCAGAATAGAACCAGGAGACATGCTTCTGCAGGTATGCTTCTACATTTACAAATTCTGGTCTAAAGTGCAAAATTGTGATGAATACCAGCGTTTTCACGAGTAGGGATGACTTCTTTAGCTGTCACTGTTAGTGCGTCACAAAAGAGACTAGAAGACACTAGTTTGTCTCTGCCTGTGGTTTCTGAAGCACGTCAATAACCACATCTTATTCGCTTCCGTCACTAGACTTTTATGTTGAAATTTTCCTTTGTGCGGTTTTTTGATCTCTGTGTGACAGTTCTATTATTACACCTCATATGAGGCACGTGAAGGCTATTCGTATTTTCTGTGATCACTGCATTTACGTGCATTTGATACAAAAAGGTTTAGATTTATAGGACCTGGAAGTCCCTCTAGCTCTGTAGAAATGATTGTAAGAAAAATAACAGCTTAGACATTTCTCTGACTCCATTAAAGATTATATCAAATTTCTAAAACCTATACAGTGTAACCTGACCATAATGTTTCTGTATGTAAACCAGGTAAATGATGTGAATTTTGAGAACATGAGCAACGATGATGCTGTGAGGATCCTGAGAGAGATAGTTTCTAAAACGGGGTAAGAGCATCAAAGTCACTCAGACAGGTTAACATTTGAAAAGATCACAGCACACTGTTTTGTTTGTGCTTTGTAATATTACATCTTAAAGACTACATTTAGTATAACAGGTTGCAGAATATCTACTTTGTCACAGAAAGTTTCATTAAAAAAGTTGGAAATGCTTTAATGTCAGCAGCTATGTGTCAGATTGTCATATTTTGTTATTTTTCAATACTTCAGTTGTCAGCAGCTTTATGCCACTTACATATTTAAGGCCAAGATTAAGATTTTGTTAAAAGGCTTTAAATTATTTCATCTTCCCTCCAAGCCTCTTGTTTTCTGTGCAACATGGCAAAGATAAATTTATTCTGGAGTTTGTAAGTTCCAGATATTTGAGCAGTTTTTTTTTTCTTGGAGCCATCACCTTATTCATCAAGATCTCATGTATTTTTTGTTTTTTTTGTTTTTTACCGATATTTAAGAGAAATATATTTTGGTGTCCCACCATGTTTGTACCCTTTGTAAACCGTAAACAGTAATTTCCTTGAAACTATGATCCAAAAAAGAAACATTTAAGTATGAACACAAAAAAAAGTTTAGTTATGTTTGGTTTATAGGAATTGTTTGAAGTCTAAATAATTTCAGCATCATAATTTTTCCAAAATTTTCTCTATAATGATTCTTCAGTCTTAAGTTAAGGTTGCAGCGGTAAGAGATGGATTTTTTTTTTTTTTTTTTTTGGAAAAATAAATATGAAGGGAGCTGTTAGTTGATAAATCATTGCAGTTTGTACACTAGAACCTTTTAAAGAATATTTTTGCAATTTACATGTCGTTATACTTAAGCTAATAATTGAAACGCCTTTTAAAAAGTATTTCATTAATGAGGAAACTTGTATGTTAATGCAGAATACTGTTGTTTTTTTTTTTTCCTGCATTAATTTATTCTTAAACTCTTATTTTTTAGCCCCATTAGTCTTACTGTTGCCAAGTGCTGGGATCCATCTCCAAGAAGTTACTTCACTATCCCACGTGGTAAGAGCTTTTTCAGTCATGTTGGGGGTGATGATCATGCACTTCTGGCAAAAGTATACTCACTCCTTGAACTTTGTCACAATTCAACCAAGCAGTTCATTCATCTTGAATGTACAAAGTAAAGGATAAGTTAAGTAGTAGGAAAATAATGCAAACAATTCCAAATTGGGTCAATTCTGGTAGCTGTTTGGTGGCACTGGAATTTAATTACAGGTAATAAAGTAACGTGGAGTTAAAAAGAAAAATCATAGTTTTTCTACCGTGTATCATCACCCACTTTATGCTGGTTTATCATTAAAAACTCCAACAATATATATCAAAGTTTTTGGTTGTACTGTGACAATATTTGAAAAAGAGGTGTAAATTCAGGCTACTGTATCGGATAAAATCTGAGCTCAGCAATGTTAGTGTCTGTCACCTTGAGTTTCTTATTATTTATCTGTTTGCTCATTGTTCCCAGCGGAGCCAGTAAGACCCATTGACCCTGCAGCCTGGATTTCTCACACCACAGCCTTGACTGGACCATATCCACATTATGGTAAACACTGCCAGAAACTTATTTACCATCGTATGACAACTTTGTGTCAAATTCTGGTAGATTTTTATTCCCTCCTCCTTTTTCTCAGAATTCGATGACCTGCCTCTGTCTGTTGGTAAAACAGACATGGCAACCATTGTAAAGGTGATGCAGCTTCCTGACTCAGGCCTGGAGATACGGGACAGGATGTGGCTGAAGATCACCATTGCGAATGCAGTCATAGGTGAGGAAAGCTGAGCAAAGCAAAATGTTGCAAGCACACACTTTTGTGGTTTTAAAGGCAGTTTACTGTAAGTCACACAGAAATGCAGTAGGTATACGCAGCACTCAAAGCTGGTGCCTTTTATGAGCTGGGATAGTATTATTATAGTGCTTGCACAACGTGTTTGCTTGTACCTTTCTGAGTCACCTAGTTGTGTAAGCAGTTTTCCCACCTTAAATGTGTGTGTTGCTGTTTAGGTGCTGATGTGGTGGACTGGCTTTACTCCAGAGTAGAAGGCTTTAAGGATCGACGAGACGCAAGGAAATATGCCAGCAGTCTACTGAAACATGGCTACCTGAGACACACGGTCAACAAAATCACCTTCTCTGAACAGTGCTACTACACATTTGGGGATCTCTGCCAAAGTACAGACCTTTAGTTTGTGTATTAACAATTTATCTCATGTTTTTTCATATTTTGTTATGCTCATTTGATGCTTTTCTTCTTTAAGACATGGCCTCTCTAAATTTGAATGAGGGATCCAGTGGTGGGGGTTCGGAGCAGGACACTTTAGCACCTCTACCTCCCACCACCAACCCTTGGCCTCTGGGAGGGCAGCCATTCCCATACCCGCCTTTTCCATCTGCGCCCCCCTGCTTCCCACCGGGATACTCCGACCCGTGCCACAGTTTCCACAGCGGGAGCGCCGGCAGCCAGCACAGTGAGGGTGAGCAGCGAGGAAGGCGCAAGACGGGCCCCCTGGTTTTCCATCAACAAATCATGAATTAATGTAATCTGACTCAAAACGGCATCAAACCGTCTGTGTCACATGACATCAGTGTTAGCAGAGTGTGACTCACGCTTAACGTTAGCTGTTCTGGCCCTTTGCTTTGGATTTCCTTTTCCATCATTGAGTTTGTGTCTCCTAAAACGCATCCTGTTGTTGTCAAGGTCAGTCATGAACATGTTGAGTCACGCAGTGGGCAGCTCTGCAGTACTGGGTGTGTAAAAATACTAAAAGACATCTGATTAACCATGTGATTTGGAATCACAAGCAGTCCCATCTCCTCCTCTATTAGTTTTCAGATGATCTTTTTGTCATTTTATTTTAAGTCTACATTTGACGGTGCTGCATGGTTTTTGCTTTGAAGCAGCGTTGAAAGATTGGCAGGGTTAAGTTATCAATTTGTGTTTTCATCATTGTGAGTGACTCATCCAAGCATGGCCACATCTTGCTTTCAGCCATTCTTTTCACCAACCTTTGCGAGGAAATAGATGGAAAAAAAAAATAGATGGAAAAAAAAAAAACGGTTTTAAAGTAAAACCCAATTTCTTCAATTATTTGCATGTGATCCTTTTTATTGGAATATAAGCCATCCATTTTATTAAGCTTGATAGAAAAAGAAAATGACAAAAACGTGTGTTAGTTTTAAAGGTAATAGAGCAGGTTCAGAATGTCAGTCAGTGTGGGGACATCTGGCCTGGGAGGTGTGTGTAATTCTGTTGTTCCCTCTGTTTCTGCTGGGCTACGGTAGACTGAAGGAGGAGGTAGTCCCAGGACACTGGGGGAACCGGTAAGCCTGCTAACCCCCCTCTCCTCCTGCTCTGCTGCTCTTTTCTTTTCACTCACCATCGTCTCACTGTCCCTCTGTGCTCTCATCTATTTATCTTGCACTCAGCATTCTCCACCTATCACATCGCAGCTTTAAGGTTTCTCCTTTTCTCGTCTCCCCCTGTCTTTTGCCAGCTCCATGATTTTTTTTTTCTGTCTCTGTGTATCCCTAACAGCCGACTCTCCCCCTCTGCACCTTTGGGCATGTGTTTGTACTTTGCTTGGAGGTGCATGATACAGGATGGTCAATCTTAAGGCTTGTGCTCATAGGGTACAATCATGCACCACTTTACCCAGTACTGTTGGGCTCATTGCAGAAGTTAAAATGTGTGTTTTGCAACATTGGTTACACCTCCATCAGATACCACGATGATACTGAAACTGCCCGTTTGATGATTGACTAATATGTTTTTGTGTAATTTTACCAATGTACATTTTTCTGATGCTGGTGTATTCTGTCCACATGTGCAGTAGCTTGCAGATGTATTCAAACCACTTGGACATATTCAGGTTGCATTACAGCGAAAGAGAGAGAAAAAAATTGATTTTACCTGAAAAAAAGTAGCAATAAGTAGAATATAACTAATTAGGGATTTTCAGTTTTGAAGGTGTTCATTGAGAACATCAACCTCTGAATTAATACTCGGTAGAACCCTTTTTGCTCCACTTCCCGTACTGAGAGTCTTTTAAAGTGTGATTCTAGTGTTTCTATCAGCTTTTGTTTTCTAGAAAATGTATTTATTGCCCTTTGTTCTTTTCAAAATGGCTCATTAATATCATTTGGAAGGTATTTCCGTACATCAGTTCTCCAGCCTTGCCTCAGATATTCATTTGGCTGTAGGTATGGATTTTGACTGGGCCATTCTAACACACAAGTATGCCTTGATCTAAACCATTCCTTCTTAGATGTATGTTTAGAGTTGCTGTCTGGTTGGAAGGTACTCTGGCCCCTTTCTAAAGGGTTTTTGAAATGTTTCTTTCCTGTATTCAGCGTTGACCACCTTCCACCACCTTCCACCACAGCACTATACTGCTGCCATCAAGTTTAAACATGCAGACAAGGGTAGTGAGGATGGTTTACTGTTTCCATCTCTGCGAAAACATTATTTTTTCATCTCATCTAATTAGAAAACCTTTTTTTGCATCAGTTGTCTCTACCTCTGGTACTTGAAAGCATTTGTCTGGATACCTTTAGATGCAGCACTGTTTTGATACACTGAGTCTCTCATTAAAAGGCCACTGCAGAACTTTGTATCAGCTGTTTGATCCATGTGTGTTGGAGATGGGATCATCTAGAAGTTATAGGACAGTGGCTCTCAAGGATTGGGGCTGAAGCCACCTTTTTGTTTGCATTTTTCGGTTTTGTCTTCTTCACTCTTGCTGGATTTATAGAGCACGTATCTAACAGCTGTTATGTTGATAGAGTCTCCCACCTGCGCTCTGAATAGTTGCAGCTCCTCCAGAGTTACCGTGGGCCTCTTTGCTCCTTCTTTGGTTGATGTTCTCCTTGTCCAGCCTGTCAGTTAAGGTGGAAAGCCATGTCTTGGTCTGAAAATTTGTATAATTTTCAGATGATGCATTCTAAAACTATTTACCAATTTCTCGCCATTTAACGTAAACTCATAATAAAATACAATTAGTTTTTTTAGTGGGAAATGTAACAGTATGTTAAGAAAGTTCGAGTGGTATGAATATTTCTCCAAAGCTCTGTATTAGCTGTTAATGTTTTGGTGTAGAAACATCAGTTGCAATATGATTGTGATTCTTGTGGTGGATCTTTGACTTAATCATTTGCAATCATGTTTCCTGACTGGTGGCTCTTTTCTAGATTGCTTAAGAAACAATCTGGTCACATCTTAAACAAAAGGCTTTAACATATTTTTTCTATGCATTATTCAAAGGTCTTAATGTGTCAGTTTTAGAGTTACAGTTAACTAAAATTCTGTTAAGCTATTGTTTAATGTGTGACCTTTTACTTTTTTCCTTCGATCAGTTTCTGGTTCTGAGTCAGCCCTGGTTGATCTGTTGCAGCTGCTCTCAGAGTGTTTTTGGGTTGACTCTGCAAATGCTGCAAAAGCTCTAACTGATTCAACCCTTTTTTTCTTATTTTTATTTGTTTGCGTTGTCAACAGGAAGCCGAAGCAGTGGATCGAACCCCAGCGCAGGCAAAGACAGACACTCCCCACAGGAGAAGGTTCAGAAGCCAACAGGCCGCGAATCTGAGTCGGGCTTCCGTGGAGGGAAGCGAGGGGACAGGTCCATCAGCCAGATGAGCCATCACAGCCATGCTAGGTCCAGCCTCAGTCACAGCCACTCACACAGGAGCCACTCGCTGCCCCAGAGCAACCACCCCTCCTTCAGCTACAGCCACACTCCCTTCACCCAGCCGGGGCCGGGCTCCTGCACGCAGAGCGAGAGAAGCCATGCCTCCTCCTATGGCCCCCCAGGCTTGCCTCCTCCGTATTGTCTAGCTCGACTTGCCCCCAAAACCTCAGTGAGCAGTAGCACACCCCCTGGAGCCCCTCCCGGGAGGGAGCTGGCGACTGTTCCTCCTGAGCTCACCGCCAGCCGGCAGTCGTTTCAGCACGCCATGGGCAACCCTTGTGAGTTCTTTGTGGACATCATGTGACAGAACAGTGCCTTTGAAAACAAAGTGAGCACAAAACAATCCTGCTAGAACTCACTTGCATCTTTTTCTTCTTTCTCCTCAGTCTTTTGAGCACCCCCTAAGTTCAGAATGTAGATACTACCTGGCCCCCCTGTAGCCCTCTGCTCTACCTACGATGTCCACAGAAAGGAATACAGGCTGCTTTAGCACAAAGGAAGGATTCCTCTCAATCACAAGCACAGGTGCTCCACCTGAAAGCCCCTTTTTTTTACAGACATGTACAGTTTGTGAAACGTGAGTGCTGTTTGGTGTGGTGATGTCTTTGAAGCTGCCATGCAGACATTCTCGGGTACATCGTGGATATAATCTGTTCAGCAACACCTTTAACTAGGCTGGAACTGGATATCAATCCCCCAGACCCAGACTGAAAACTCTTGTCAAAACTCCTAGGCCCCTTTCTCCACCGGTTCTGGGGCTTTGTCTAAGCTCTTAGTGCCAACACTAACCCTGATCTGTGGATTCTTCAGCTTCAGGAGGAAAACCCCATCGCCTGCTGCCAGTTTTAGCGAGGCTGCACAGTGCATGTCTGAACTGCTTTAAAGAAATTTTATAATTTAATTTGTTTAAAGTATTAACTAAACCAGAAGAAGGAGGCTCCCTCTCGCCAATGTTCTAAAGGATAAATCCATACACTGGATGATTTTGTGATGTTATTTATGTGGTCTTGTTGCGTCTATGATGTTGTCGCAGTTTGTCTCCTCCGGCTCCCTGACAGACAATCAGACGTCATCATTTGTGTGTCAGAGACCAGTTCCTGCTCTCTCAGCTGTTCACTGTCAAAAATGCAGTGGATGTAAAAACTCAACACCCCTCTGGTAAATGACAGGGTTTTGATTAATACAGTTTTTATAACGTTTTCTTCCTTTATTTAAAATATTTCCTCTTTATTATTCAAAGGTAAAACAAATATGTTAAAATGGGGAAATATACACATGAAAATGTCTTAAGAATAACAGCCTGGCTGCATAAGTGTGCACAACACCTGTAATCAATTTCCGCTTTGCCTGTAGGATTTTTCTCACAAATTTCCATCCTTTGGCTAACAGAGCAGCTTAAGGAGTGAATAAAAAAAGTTAAAAAAAATTATATCCGGGCATAAAGAAATTAGTTAGGAGAGGAGTACCAAAAATTATAAAATTATGTTTACTAGCACAATAAAGAGTTTGTAAAGTTGGTAGTAGTTGGAGAATTTATGGAACATTTATGGAGCTTTTCTAGGTGCAACAATAATGTCCTGTTTTTGAATGTCTGATCTAAGAAGAACTGAAAGACAGAAGCCTTTTCTCAAAGACACATCAAAACAATTAGTGAATCTACCCAACATTTGTTAGATTAAATCAAATTAACTTTAGCCACAATCTGTAGATCTAAGTGGTGGTGAAAAACACAACTGTACACCAAAAACCATTTACAGCACAATACATTAGTCAATTGGATCCAAAAACTTTAGGTTTCTGTTTTGCAAAAGCTGAACGAAGATTTCGTTTTTTTGTCTGTTCTGAGTTCAAGCATACATCAAAGTCAGAAATTAGTTTTAATTTGGAATGGCTGGGCCAAAAAAATGTAACAGGGAGGTGGGCGTCATCTGAAGAAAGCTATGAAGAAGAAATGTCCTCAGAATTAGAGAGATTTGGAGAACTTTTTCTAATATAATATTCACTACTACCAAAGAAGATCAAACCCTAAAAGATGCATTAGCAAAGTATTGGTTTCAGGGTGTGCACACTTATGCAGGTTGTTGAGCCTTTTAGCTTGAAGTGTTAAGGAAGTAAGTTATATTTAAGATGGAAAACATTTGGTAGTTGTTGATCATATTTTTTCTCTAAATAACTGAAACCTGGCTCTTTGCCAGGGGTGTGTAGACTTTATATCAAGTACCTCTATTCCCATCAGGTTAGCTGAGTAGCTGAGCTGATAACACTTTGATTTGCACAAAGAACATTAGCAAACATGTAAGCACAACTATCAGACTTAATGTGTCAAACCGGCTGTGAGAACATCGTGATAATTCAGTGGGAAGGAAGCCAAGACCTCATTTGTCATGGATCTTTACCCATGATGTCGGAGCTCTTTATATTGCCCTTTCATGTTTTCTGTTTTTTGTTTTTGTTTGTTTGTGATTGTCATCCGTTTTTTGTTTTTTTTTCTCATTTCACGTGAGGTTAAATTATCTTCAAGGGGAATCCTGTCCAACAGCACAACCTTCCCCTTGCAAAACGACAGCAAACCCCTGTTGTAACTATTTAAGGAATAACTACAACAGGGAAATAACACTCTAGTTTTATGAGCACTTTCCCATTTTGTCTTTCCCTTTAAGTATGAAACACTGTTTTCAATCAAAGCTTTCTCTTTAATTTTGTTTCATTACAAAAGAATAAAATGTACATAGAAATTTATTATATATAAGAATTAAAAATATATCTGTTCCAACAGTTTGTCTTTATTGGTGGACGCTGTGTCTTTTAATGTTCTGCCCATAAAAAGCAAATCACTGGAAATCTCATCACCAATAACCCTTCGCCTTCAGGATTGTTCATGTCCCAACCAATTGGTCTAAGATTAAAAAGAAACACATTTTCACTGCTAGAACAGACCTTATTCTTGTTTCCTAAATGTATCAAAACTAAAACTTCCAAATCTGAATGAGTTTAAAGCAATTACAGATGAATACATTTAGAGTGGGGCTTAGTAAAAATACAATAAAGACTAACTGCTAAATAAAAGCAAGGTTTAAAGAGATTTTGTCTGTGTTATTTCATTATTTATAACTGAATCAGCAGAGGACTGTTTTACAAGAAAACAAGATAATGGATGAAGCCATCAATTTACAGACGTTGCTTATTAAAGCCCGGACTCTTTCACAAAAGCACTAACATAAATCACAAAGGTGGTTTATTCTATGCAGCTAGCCTGCTCCAGACCAGGTTTAGAGCCTGGTTTAGTTAATCCAGGTACTGTAATTGCTGAGTCAACATCACACAGACCATATACCAAAATATATGTTTATGAAATGTGTGAGTATTCTGTTTTCTTATGTTTTCTGCTGCAGTAAAAAACCAGTAAAACATATTATTTAGTCAAGTACTCTAAATATTTTAACATTATAATGGTAGTCTCTACCATTATTGTTTAGTTATCCATGTGAACATCGTTACTGTTGGATTATTGTTTTAGACATTTTGGTTTAAGTTGGACAGAAAGGCATTTAATAGACTATCACGTGTGTTGGGGGTAATAGATAAATAGTTGATAAATATGCAAAGGTGGCCATTAAGGCAGGGCATAAAAGTAACTCCAAACACATGTATTTTCCTTTACAATGGTGGGTCTGCTTTTGATTTTTTTTCTCAAGTTACCAGCAGGAAAATTACTGCTTTTCTGGGGATGACATCCACTATCTACAGACTGCTGGATACCAAGATTCAGCAATGCACTATACAAAACCCTGCCTCTATTGGGTGTTTTTTGAGCTATTTGTATGCTCCTGTATGCAGTAGGATGCGCTGAACTATCTTAGCAAAGCCACTATTTGCTGTAGCAACAGAAAAGGAACTACATCATGTAGGGATTCTACAATATGGTAGATAAGATGGATTAGGGAACACATCACAAGCAAACTTAACTCTGGCAAACTTTTTTTTTTTTTTATTGATCCATGATTCCCAAATGTTAGAGGTGTTTTGGACTGCAAACACATTTAAAATAAAGGTGATTTTGGTAAAAGAAAACCCCAATGATCAGTAGTCAACTTCAAACATTGATTAAGAGCATGTTGTTACACCTTATTGCTTTAGGTGATATGTGATGCTCACTGCATCTTCAGAAGCATCAAGGCAAACTGGCCTTCCTCAGGCCATGACACTGACCTGTCCCCTCTATGACAAGTCTTCTAATTGTTTTGAGTTAAGGGAAAGCTTTTCTACCACCCCTGGTGCCAGACACATGAGCCTTTTTTAAAACCTGAAATAAATTAGATAATTAAATATGTGTGCAAGCACCATCTAAGTCATTAGTACAAAACATTTGCACATTGTGTTTAACACTTTATCCAGATATTACCAGTCTGTTCTGTATGAAAATTGACAGGATGTGTGAAAAAACATAGTGATGAGTCACCCCCATTGCTTGACAAAATTTTATGAATCCATTCTTGACATAACTAGGATTTAATCCTGAATCCTGCGCATTAAAGACAGAGACCTAATCACAGGAGAATTGAATGCCAAGTCATAATCTATCGATTGTCACATTTGAGCATGTTACAATACTAATTTCCATGGTTAGCTTTTGTTTACAGTTGTTTATTTCAGAAAATGGCAATCAAGTCCTTGAATTATGGTGTTTTCAGTTAAAAGAAGAGTTCAGTTAATATATATTTTAAGCCATTAATTTGATTGGAAAGTGTTTGCTTTATCATTGATTCTGTGATCACCCCGTTTTGTGTTAAGAAAAGCTTTAGATTTAAATTTATCTAGATTACCTAGCTGTATATGAGCCGTAGTGGACCAGATAAAGTCAGGATGCACTGATCATACTAGGTAAAGCTTGGCTCTATCTCTTATACTTGATTTCTTAATTCTGCTTTTGTTATCAGAGAAAACTGAAAATGTATTTTCACTCACTGAATGAAGTGGGAGAATAATCTAAAAGCTTTTGGGCCGTTAATTCATCAGTCCCGCCCTTGTTGCTGGTTATTCGAGGCTGTGTTGTCAAGGAAGAAAACCTAGATATCTTCATCCCCTCAAAATACTATCAAGGTCTTTCTTGGGGACCTCAGGTGTTTCCATGCCATAGAATCCAGACATCCATGGCAAACCTCCATGCACAGGCATCCTAGATGACCTATTTAGATGTGAGCAGATTATGCTGAAGTCCTTCTATAACAGCTCCTCAAGTTAGAAAGGCTGATCTGGCAATTTATATCCAGGATCTTGATGAACATCTAATAAACACTAATGTGCGTAAAAACAGATGATTTGATAAGCGATGAGATTTCTTCACATCGCTGCAGAAGAGGCCCCACTGCAAAGAGTGATTATGATTATTTCTTTATTAGATGACATGTTGTATATATATATATATTAGTAAAAGGAAATATGAAATATAAAGATTTGAACAAGTTTAATGTTTGATGTAAGGATCTGAGCAAATGATGACTTCTCAGTAACCTAAAAGCTGTTTTCATCTTGCTCTTGTTAGTATGTATAAAAGCTGCTCCACCAATGGTACATTAATAGAGTTATGGCTGTTTTAGGCTCATTGATACCTGGACTGATACCTGGATTGTCAATGAGCTACACTATATTTTGCGATTTGGCCAAAATAACAACCCACAACTGCTCGCATTGGTCTAGATAAATAGCTAAAGATGTTCTGATAAAAAATTACAAAAACACACACCACATTACAGCTTCCTTTTGTATGGATTGCAAAATCCCATACCACATAAGGTGTCTACTTTGATCCCTAATATTTTCCACAAATAATAACTTCTGCTTGCCATCGTTTGAGAATTTACTTTCTCATATATATTTCCATACTTAATTAATGCATTTTATTTCATACTCTCTTTCAAGCATATTTTCATGGATAGGTTGGCTTTAGAGGGGCACCAAAAATTCTAAGATCTAAGTCCAGTAGATCTGTAGGATCTAGAGTCTAGATCCTACAGATCTACTGGACTTAGATCTTAGACTTTTTTTATCTAGACCATTTTAGAATGGTCTAGATTCTAGATCAACATTGGATTCCCATTTTTATACCATTTCTCAGGGCTTAAAGGATTAAACTTTGTCATTTTGGTTCCAGAAACTGCAACACACCTCAATGGGACCAAGAAGCGATGTAGTTCGCATTATCACCACTAGATGGAGACGTTGAGCGTTACGAAACCAGTAAAATAATAAATTTTTAACAAATTTGTTTTGGGGGTCTTTAGAGGGTTATTTCCATTTGACACTGATCTAAAACGAATGGATGATTTATTTATGATATGCCATCAACTGTTGGTCAAAAAGGAGGCAACAATGTTCTCAAAGTTTTGACGTCTGAAACCGACTGCGGATAAAATGGGGGTTAAAAAAAAAAAAAAAACGTGCCACAACACCAAACTTGTCATCTTCGACAGTTCACGTTAACGCCCCCTGCGTGGAAGTTCCGAACATCAGCGACGTGTACTTTCCCAGTGGGTGGGCAGACGTTACTTTCACAATAGTCAAACAACACATCGCAGACTGACAGACCCCCAGCTCGGCCTGACCCCCCAACCACACACACACAGACACACACACACACAGCTTTACGGAAGGTAACTCCACGCTCCCACTCAAGAGGGGCGTCAGAGGTCAGGAAGGAAATGACGTCAGGGCCCAATATTTTACCTCTGCTGAGGAGGCAGATTAAACAGCACATCAGAACATCAAAAACGACCTATTTAAAATGTTGCCTCTGAAATGAAATGCTCAAATAAAGAGGATGTCTATTTCTATAAATCATAGATTAAGTCTCTAACTACCTACATGTAGCTGCAGAGGATCATTTACCAGCAGGCTAAATACAGTATTACTGCTGCCTACCAAACCAGAGAGAAGTACTTCCCCAAGATGCATGTTAATTTGGAGGGGAGGGGGTTACATTCCCTTCATAGCTGCAGTCAGCTTTGGGTTGGGGGCGTTTAGGGGTAAGTGTAGGAGGTGTTTCTTGGCCAAGTGTGTTGGCATGCAGACCTTTGACATCATATATTTGTGTAATCTGTACAAAGTAGGAGATGAATCAATACTTGTGTGTTACTTTAGAAGGTCAAATGAGAGCCACCCTTAAATGTCAGGGAAAGGTTCTATGATGATATTACCTTGTGAAAATGACACAAAGGTTGTGTTGCAATTAAGGCAGTTTGCCTGGTCATGAGAGCTAGGATGAGCTAGAATATTTTTTCTTATGTGATTATAAGTCAGTAAATTTTCCCAAACTAAGGGCACTTACTGGAAGGAAGCAGTTCCCCTTTCAGAGGAAATAGATAAACATTTGTTTTGGTTAGCCAAGCAAAGATTACTTTTCAATTAAAACAGAACGTGTTATTATTTTCAGTTTTGTTATTGGCTCCACAACATTATTTGTTTGTGATGAAGAAAGAAGATGGAAAGTTTTGTAACTTTTCAGAGCCCTCCAGCATTAATCAGTTACACAATGCTAGGAGCAGAGGTTGTTTTTCTTTTTCACATGGCTAACCAGGATATATTGTATATAAAAAGACACTCACTATATATGAATCTTTTTTTTTTTTTTTTTTTTTTAGATCTGTTTGATATTTTTTATAAAATTAAAGTCTTTAACTGCCTTTCCACCCAAATGGTTGACCATTTGATTAGCAAAACGCAGGCTGCAGGTTGACAAGGCAGTTAAAGAGTTAATGCATTTGGACAGTTTGCAGGTCCATAGCCATAAAACATGGACCCATCCCTAACTCATACCTAAAGGTAAGTAAGAGAGAATAGGGAACCAAGCAGTCATGTGATTGGACTTTGGGAGGAGGCAGGTGAGCTTTAAACTTTGTTTAAAGGAGCAGTTTAGGCATCCCAGCAGCAGGAAAAAAGCTATGTGTAGGCAACAGAATTATACATTTCTAATTGTTTTAGATTTCAATTATCTACAGTAAAACTAAAAGTTTAAGACAGTTATTTTTAGATATAAAGTATGAGGTGACTTGCGACCTGTCCAGGGTGTACCCCGCCTCTCGCCCATGCTGCTGGAGATAGGCACCTGCACCCCTCGCGACCCCACTCGGGACAAGCGTGTCAGATAATGGATGGATGGATGGATGGAAGTATGAGGTGGTGAGTTTGTCAAGTGAGTTCAGTAAATAATAATCAACAAAATAGGCTGAGTTCGTAAATGCAAGCTTTAGTTCCAGGTATGCTTTTGAGGATAATCATCATAACAAGTGAAAACACAGTCCATTCTGGAATCTGTGTGATAAAAACTAGCTAGATACCAATCAAACGCTAGGCTGGCAGAGAACTATACTACTTATGTAATTAGCCCCACATCTAACATGATGTTAGATGTGGTTCTGTTAAATTGCTTTCTGGCATGACTGTTCTGCATGCATGGCTGTTTGCTTTAAAAAAAAAAATCTAAGTTTTATCTCAAGTCTCATCTTGGGGTTCTGAGCACCATAAAGCTAAATAACAGCTCCAGGCTCTGAGTAATGTCTCCTGACAAATCTTAGGTGAACTCCAAGTGGTTCATGCAAAAACAGTAATCTTATCATTTAGATAAGAGGTATATTTGATGCACTCAAAAGTCTTTTCATCTGAGAGCCAATTATGGTTTTATTACGATTTACAATTCTTGATGCACTTAAGTTGAGTTTTTTTCTATGTGGTGACACACAGGAATGTGACATCGGAACTTTCAGGTTAAATTATGCGAAGCTTTTATTTGGCTGTAAAAGACTTGCAGGCAATGAGATCCTACATCAAAAAGATTACTTTCCGAACTTTCCGGATGTTACAGGATACGCAGTGAAACAATATCCATGTGGGAAAACCTGGAAGCAGAGGAAACTGTAAAAAAAAAAAAAAAAACTTAATTTAAAGTTATAAAATTTGTCGCAAAGAATATGATCAGAAATTAAATTTCTTTTGACTACCATTAACCCTGCTGGCTGATCTGCAGTGATCTTTGTTCTGTTTTTGAAACTCCAACAAAGTTTGATATCTTTATGACTTTATTTGATTTTAACAGAAGGGGAGAAGAATTTAAACATGTTTGAACAAGTTACATTTCTTTTTATCTTATTGTCATTTGGAGAGAACTTTTCTCAACCACAAAGGATACGCCCCCTTTTGAACAGAAACTATGTAAAGCAAGTTCAGCTGGTGGTGAGCAGACTGCATGTCTGAGCATAGAGGCGCACAACTCAGACAAATGCTTGATTGCAACTTCATCTTAGTGACAGGAATTAATTAAGCATCATCATTAATTTAAATGACTTAAGATCTGATCTAGATAAACAGATTTATTCAGTAACAGCAAGGAATTTTCTCAGTTGATCTCCTGTATTATTTCTTGGATTTCCTCTCTAACTCTGAGGATTGGGAGCTTATAACTGAGGATGGCTCGGATCTTCTGGATGATGGGTTTCGTTCTGCTCACTCAGGGGTTCTTATATGTCCTTGGAGAAACTGGAGTTGGCTGCAAGAAATGGCGTTCAACTGATGAAGGTGTTTGCTGCGATGAATGCCATCCTGGTAAGTGGAACATCAAAAAATGATGAATGATGTAAATTATGAATATAACAGGAATCAGGCTCTGAACAGTGAAACTTCCATTTAGATCACATTTAACATTAAATGTATTGTAGATGTAGAGTTTATAATCTATCTATTCTTAAATATGTGTGTCAGGTTTGACTGATGATCTCTGCATAGGGATTATTATATACGCCAACCTATGTGTAATTAAAGGCGATAAATCCAAATGCTGAGAATGTTTGATGAATTTAGTAAAAAAAGATGAAGTTCGTCTCATACTTGAATTGTTCTGTAATCTTTAACTTTAAAAATGAAGTAAATACAAAGAAGAAAAAAAAAAAACAGAATTCCTGCTTTGGGGAGTTTCTCTGTGGTGGCTGAATGCAACCGCTTATAGTTTCAGTGGTTTTTCATCTAATCCCACAGCGACACTTAGCTGATACAACTGATTAGTCCACTCATTCACAGTCTGGGATGGCTATGTCTGAGAATTTGGATACACTCACCAATTTTACAGCTATGACTACTTTAATTGCTCACAGCCATCATAGTTCTGGTTACAGCTGATTCACTGGCGCAGATAACCAGGAATGTGAATGCTACAGTAACATGAGTCAAGTTCAGAGCTTTCCGATTTTTGATGTATGGATTTCTTTGCAGGGAATCGTGTGGTGAAAAGATGTGGCCCAAATCCAACAGAACTCTGCACTCCATGTGAAAGGGACCATTATACTCTAAAGACTTTGTCCAGCGAATGTAGCATTTGCTCTCAGTGTGTTGGTATGTCATAGTATTGAGCAACAAAACCTTTCCTTTGTAGCCCAAGCACAGCCTAAACTTACCTGTTATCTTCATCTCCATCGTTTTTCAGGTGCTCTTGTCCAATTGAAAGCGTGCACCCGTACAAGCAACACGCAGTGTGGGTGTCCAAAAGGGCTGCTCTGTGGAGACAACCCCTGTACCTTCTGTGTGGACGAGTGCTCCAAAGGCTTTGAACCTAACAAATATCGTATGTAAATCTGCAAATATTTGAATGTTGTATTTAGAAAGCTGAGTGTATCACACATCAACTTAACATCTCCTAAACTCATCACAGGTTCTTGCACTCCTTGCCCTAATGGGACCTTTAATGACAAAATTCATCAAAAGTGTAAACTTTTGAGTACCAGGTAAGTGATCTTTCTTTCTAGAACTATTTTGTTCTTTTTTTATTCAAGACAAATAAAAAACAAAAAACAAACCCAACTAATTCTTGTTTTACTTTTAATCAACCCCAAAGCTGCAAAGATCCAAACCATGTTATGGTTTTCAAAGGAAATGCTTCTTCTGACATTATATGCAAACCACCTTCAACTACAACATCTACAAAAACTCCACCTCTAAACAAATCCAGGAGACCTGGTAAGGAAGAAATGTGGCAAAGTTCAAAGTTCATCAGCTTTTATAATTGTTTTCATGAAGAGTGATGTGCATCCTTCTTTTTTTAAGTAGAGACAACAGAACAGGGATGGCCAACAGTGTTATTTGTGATCATCGGAGCGTTTATGATGTGCCTCATCATCTTTATCACCCTTGCATCTTTCCTAATTCATCACAAAGGCAAAAAGGAAAAGAAACAAAGAACTCTCTCGAAAACCCCTATAATTGGGACTCCTACAGGTAATGATTAAAAACTAAGAGCGCAAACGTTATTTTCAAGCCAATGTCAGGCAGCAAATCGCAAATCCGATACAGAGAAAGTACTAACTGTGTTTAATTTACTCCTCTTATTTAGATGATCCAAGGACACTGATTGCCATTGAGTGCAGTTTTCATGAAGCTCAACAGGAACAGGGAAACAGCACAGAATCATTAATCTCCAAGGACTCTGGAGGTACTGTGTAAATGGAATCGAACAAGACGGAACATGACATCGGCAGCTGAGGAAAACAGATTTGTCCAAAAGATGGGATTCTGCGTTTTACTGAGCCATGAGCTTAAAGAGGCTTTGTTCTTGCATCAATGTCCCTGGTTCCTAATGCAGGAACTGTGATGCCCCTCTACTGTTTGCTTAATAGTAATCCTTTGATGTCTCTGTACACATAAACAGGAGGAAGGGGAATTCTGTGATGGTGGAAATAACCAAGTGGACTTCATTGACTTTGTTCATCATGTAAATGACAGCAGCCTCTCTGTTCTTCCCCCAAATTACCAACTAAGCAGAGTTCACATGTTTTAAAAGGTCATATATGTTCAGTATGAAACACTTACAGTATTAGTATACTTAGTAATAAGTAGGAATTGTACATTTACTGAAGCAAGTTACTGTATTAATTATTATTTTAGTGGGAAAGAGAGTTAACATGTTCTAGAGTGTTGTTCACATTGAAAGTACAGTGCAAGTGGGTTTTTCAGCTTTTAGTCATTTGTCATTTCAAGCCCACATACGCCTCCTGGTGCAAGCGCTAGCCTTTACCTTCGTTCCAACGATCAACCTAGTAGTCTTTTTAAAGTTTTCTTTTTTTTTTTTTTTTAGCTGAGTGTGTTGAGCAAATTGTGTGGTTATTTATAGTGTGAGTACATAAATGAGGCCAAGCAAGAGAAGCGCTGCTTTCGGTTAGTATTTAAATATCTTCTATAAAAAGACAAGACTATTTTCTACAGCAGCCTGACAACGAAAGGAACATTTCTTGTTTTAGGTCAGTCAGGGTTTTTAATGTGTTATATATGTTAATGAGAAAATGTGTTCTTTTATGTGGCACCAAGATTCTATTTAAAGTCAGAAGAATTGTTTTAAACAGTCAAGGGAAATCCAGATAATGACGGCAGGGCTCTGTCGGTTTCTAATAGGTTGACTCTAAACATTTCAGGTGAATGGAGGTATACTTGTGAATGCCCTGTGAAGGATACCTCATACAGTAATTTATTATGGAAAAAAAAAATCCAAGTTATCAGGCAGAGAATAATGAAACTTCAATATCAAAAGAAATCAGACAGACTTCAAACTTTTGGAGCAAATGTGCCTTTTAAGAGGACAGAGGACCAAAGTAATCCTGTAATTACCTACAAAGTAGCTTATATACAAGAAATCGGGAAATCCCAAGACCATGATCTTAGACCCTTAATTGAGGTGTGAAGAGAACCTAGAATGTGTGAATGTGAGCAGGATGATCTGCAATCCTCACTGTTTTAGACTTTGGAAAGATGATCGAAATGTTTGACCCAAGACAAAGTTTTAAAGCCACCTCTGCCAAGTATTAAGGAAATATATGTATGCTGCAAAGTAAAACTAAATATTTTTCTTACCGTCTGGCCTTAAATTTGAAATTTAAGGTCAGACGGTAAGAAAAATATGTTTTTTTAAAACAATATCTGGTTTCATCAGTACAACTTGAAGATATTGTGTTTTTAATATAACTCTGAAGGGTTCAAATAACTAACTGTGAAAGTACTATTGTAGCTTGGTTTTATAAGCAATTGGGCAGCTTTGCATGTGATATTGATGAAATCTTGATGGATTTCCCTGCTGCCTAATGGGTCAAGAACAAAAAACAAAAAAGGCCTAGAAAAGGGTTTTCCCCAGTGTTGGTATTTTTATTGGTAAACCAGCAGGGATTTACTTAGTTGTAAGAGAGGAATTAAATAAGCAGATGTTCAAAGAGGTGCTTTTAAGAAAGCTGAGTCATGCCTCTTGCACAACTCTAAACGCCACAGGGCTACAGAGAAACCTTTAATAGCGTGTTTTCTGTGAAACGTATTTGTGCAACAGTTCAGTGGCCTATTGAGATAAGACTAGCCGGATGTATTATTTTTGTTGATGAACTGTAGCAGGCGTATTTCTTTACAAAATGGAACAAGTAAGAAGTATACAGTGTGGGCTTATGGTGGAAAAGATTAGCCCACATCTATTGTGATTTATCATACAAGCATGTGGACAATGAGTCACAGCTCACAGGTGTCATCCTGAAAGCAGCTAACAAAAGCATGACTGTAGCACTTTATTTTGTCTACCATCTGCTACCTGAAGCAAATGACACACTTGTTTGAAGAAACTTTTAATGTAAATGTATTTTGTTTCTGAACTGTGTTCAAAGTTTTACATTTTAATTTCATACATGTTTTAAACAGCTAATAAATATATTTTTTAATTGTTGTGCTTTTATACAGGACAGCTACAAAAAGGCTACACTCCAGCAAAGCGGTGGCATTTGACATATGTAAGAAAAAGAAAGGGAAGAGGAAATAAAAGCATAATCAGATAAGGAAAAACAAAAAAAAAAAATTCCAGTCTTATCATCAGGATGAACGTTATTGTTTGGTATGAGGAAATTTCCCCAACTGATACGACTGGAGCTTATCCTGAGAAAAAGTATTTTCACGTTTCTCATGTTAAAACCATAAAAACATCAAAGCATGTTGAAGATATTTTACGAGCAAATAAAGTAGCATCTCCAGATATCATCTCCCCTTCACCTGGAAACTATGAACTCAATGGATTATCTGTAAAGTGTGAACTGAGAGCATGTTCGAGTCAATATACACAGAAGTAGTCCCATTTTTATACGTCCCAATGCCACATCTGCTGTTAGTGATCTGGTACAAATAAACTGCCACTCCCAGTCAAACGCCGGCTGAATGGCAGCCCTCTTCCCTCCAACTCCCAGCAAAATCCCCTCCGACTTCAAGCCACTGGAGTGACCCCCTCTTGCATATTATTTTACTCTGACTCCAGCCTTTCACTGAATTACAGGGTCTGACCAGGAGATGATGCTTCTCTTTAGATCTTAATGTCCACAAATAAATATTTCAGTACAAATATAGATGTTTAAAAAGGAATTGTAAGGGACCAGCCAAGGGCCCATCAAGGAAAGTGGGGAAATATCGAATGGCTACTACTGTGAAGTGCTCTTTTCAGCTATTGGTCCGCTTTTCCTGGCTCAGCTCTCTTTAAGCCTTCCTGATGGACTTGTTGCTGCTCTGCTGATGGGCCTCATCCATCATTTTTGCTTTTGTACATTTAAGTTTTTCTTATGTGCTCTTTCTTAGCTTTTCTTGTTTGCCTCATTTCTACTAAATGCTATCCACCTTTACTTGTGGCATTGTCTCCCATTTTTGTTGCGGTATTTGGTTTGAATCATCAAACCAAATAACATACTAGACCAATCAGTGACAAAAGTTGTGGAAAAGTTTAAAACAGATTTCTGCTGTAAAATAAGAAAACTATGAACATGTCAAGGAGTACTGTTCAGTCAGTTGACTGAAAACGAAAGATCATGGCAACATTGCAAACCTACAAGGACAACAACTTCCTCTTAAACTGACAGGTCAGGAAAGGAGAGCATAAGTGAAAGAATCAAAAATCAAAAACGATAACTGAGGGAGCAACAGAGATCCAAAGCAAAGGTGGAAAATTCTGCTTAAAATGTAACTATCAGTTGTGTATTTCTGGCATCTTGCCTGGTTGTGCAGCACAGAAAGAATGTCACACAAGGACAAATGGCCACATTCAAACAGGACAACACTAAGGTACAGTCAGAGCAGGAACAGAAAGCCCTGTATTGGTCTGATGTATAGGATCAAACTAAGCATTTAAATCCAACTGCAAATCAGCAGCACGACTTTCAAGCTACAGCATACAGCAGCTTTCCATCAGATCTGCGCATGAGCTCTAGATATGTGAAAGATAGATGGCAAGGATGTATCAACTCAGAGGGGGGTAAAGAAAAATGGAAGGAATACCTTTTAGGTTTGCATTTGTAAAACTTCCAGAAAGCTTTGCATCATTTCATATCAAAATCGCAATAAAAACAAAGACTTTAGTCATGCTATCGAGACAAAAACCTAAAAATGTTTTAAAGAGGTATGGATACTTCTTTATAACATTCTATTTCAAGACAGTTTAATGATAATTTGTATTTTATTTTCATTTTGGGCAAATTTGTTTGATTGTCAATATACCATTATAAACAGTAAAACCTGAAACAAAGGTAGGTTGTTGGAATAAGTAAAACAAGCTCGCATGCCATCAAAATAGTGTCACTTCTCTGTTCTAAGCAAATGGTGGGTTTGAAATAGACGGTGCAGTTTCTGGTTTTCTGAGAACTTCACAATGTTAATGTTATTATCGTTTAAAGACTAAATATACACAATTAGTAATTTCCCTTATAATTTCAGTGTCGAAAACATGATCATTCTTTATCAAATGAATCCGTGTTTGTTTAACTGACCCAAAGTGCCTGGCTGGGTTTTCCCTTTCATTTTTAAAATAAAGCAATAGGCAATGAGAACTCTAGTTAGACAGATCATTTTTTTGTACATTAAATTATCCCAACAGCTCAGTCTGTTTAATATCATTGTTGCTTGCATCCTTCTCGTTTCTCTTTGGCTTTATTTCGTCCAGATTTATCCGTCTGTCTCTTTGTCGGTGGTATAAATGTGGGTTCCTCAAGGATGTCCTGTGAGCCAGATGGTGCTACAGGGAGTGGTCCAATGGTTTGACCTGAAAGGAAGGAAAACAATGTGAGGATAAAGCTATTGTTCTGACAGTATATAACAGGAGTCACGTATCCTGTTTTTAATACCAGTTGGTCCTGCTCGAAAGCTCTCTGGGACATGGCTGTGGGTTGGGAAAGTAGGGTCCAGCTCCTCTGCAATGTTTCTCATCTGCTGGGATTTTCTGTCAAAAACATTTTACAGTTGGAAAATGTATATTTCACAGGAGATACAGTAAAATATATAGATATCTTAAATTTCTTACGGTATAGCATGAATAGGGCTGGGTGGTTGGTTCTCTGGGGAACATTCTTCAGTAGGTGATGGAAGACCCTCTGAGTCAAGTCTCTCTCTTTGGACCTGAAAATGAGGACAAAGTTCCTTTATTTCCTTATGATCGTTAAAATGATCTTGCAGTTTTGTTTCCCAGGGTGAAGAGCACATTTACCGGTCTCTCCCTGGCAGCTCGTCTTTCATAGTGACTAATCATGGCTCTGTGCTCGTGCCAAGACCCCGGCCCTTCCAGTTCACGAGATCTTCGCTCTGCCTTCATTTCCTCCTTCTGCATAAAGTGTGCAATTTCCTAAAAAAATAAATAAATACAAAAAAATAAAATAAATTATCATTCATAAAGGTAATGCCACTAAATAATTTATTGTTATCGACAATTTATAGACTTTCACAATTATACCTCATCTTGTGCAACTTGAGCTACTCTGAAGTCCCCCTCTGGGTAGGAATTGCGTAAAGATGTCTGTAAGATTTGTAAAAAAAAAGAAAAAGTAAGAAATCATTTGTCTTTCCACTTTCCTCCTGAAACAAAATCTGTGTCTATGGCACTTTTTAAATATTCCCAACCCTTAATCTGTCTTCACATTTTTTCAAGTCATCCACTCAAACTCAAACTTGATGTGTTTCATAGGAATTTTAGGCAAAACTCAATAGTGCAGAATTGAGGTGAAAAGATTTCAATACGTAGTTTGAAAGAGCTTCACAACCTTATTTCTGACGCGTGTGATTTGTTCACCATCGTCCTTAAACAACCGTAAGACAACTTCACAGAAAATCTCGATTTGTATTGAGATTCAATCAAACAAAAGTGCTCCGTTCACTGACTGAATGATTTCCCAGCGCATTTGTTAGAACATAGGTTTATTTGAGGGTATCTTTGTAAAGGGGCTTAGTAAACATACTGTGTTAAGAATTCAATTTGTAAATGTAATTTTTTAAAATGCTAAAACATACAAAAAGAATGCTTCATTTTTAAAAACCATGGATATTTTTGCTTTCGCATTAATTATGCTTGTCTATCCCATAATACCCCACTAAAACATGATGTTTGTGATTATAAAATTATAGAACGTCAACATTTTTCAAATGAGTTGAACACATTCGCAAAGCATTTGTACTAAATTCAGAAGTTCTTGAATCACTTGCCCTCCTTAACTCCTTTTCTTCCTCCTCCTGAAGTTTACGAGCCAGTTCTTCATCTTGTAGGACCTGATGCAGCTCTCCAAGGTCCAGTCCTGCCTCTCTTGGTCCTGGTTGGAGTGAGGCCCCTAAGTATAAAGACTGACTATGTCATTTCAAAGGAGTTCAGTGCAACTTTGAAAAAAAAAAAAAGAAATAAAAATAACACAAAGAAACAGATGATTTCTTTTTTTTTTATAAAAGTGGTTTAAGTTTAATAATAAATTTGCAACCAAAGCAGCAAAGATCCACAAGCCCAAAAATTGTTTGGAATCACACCAAGAAATGAGAAGGTCATTTTGCAAATCAAGACTATTGCTAAAATGCCACAACCCAAGAGACAGTAAAGAAGTAAGACTTTCTAGAGTGAAAACGGAAATGTCCCACTGCAGATAAAGGCCAAAGTCAGAGCTGAAGCCAACTCCCACAGCAATGATTGAAGGAAGATTAAGAGACCGGATAGAAAGAATACAGCATCAAACGGGTTCCCCTCTGCAGGTTACAGAGGGTTGCAGGTTCAGGTGTTACCTGCTGCTATGTGCTTTGACCTATGTCTGGTCGAACCCCTGCTGGTGCTGAAGCTTTGGCTACGGTGTAGGGCTCTTCTTCTCGGACGCTCTGCTCTTCTCTCCACCTCCTGCTCCTCCTCTGAGCTTAATGTTTGCTCTGGGATCTTATGCCAGTGCCTGCGCTCACTTGTTGTCCTCCTTATCCGGGGTTGATTTGCATTTCTTTCTCTGTCATTGTCAGTGTTTGCATATTTGTGGTCTTTCTTCCTTGTATTGCTATCTCTTTCTCTATGAATCTCAGAAACCGCTCTGTTATAATGGTGCATGTCTTGGTCTTCTCTGTAAACTCTCCCAATGTTTTCTCCATTTGACAATCTCCTTCTCTGCCGGATATCTCCATGGAAACTATGCCTGGTGGTGGCAGCTCTGTAGAAGGCTCTCTGATGTGGTTGGGAGCCACCATAGGAGACCTCACTCCCATGAAGCACCTGGCTGTCTCTGCTTTGAGGCCTTATCTGTAGTGGCGCCCCGCTGTCACTAACCTTCACAGGCACACCCCTCTCCTGCAGGATTTGACCGAGCATCTCCCAAACCTTCCGGCTTTCATTGTTCTGCCTGATAGATCTCCTTTGGTCATCCTGGAAGTGGACGCGCTTATCAGGGTTCTCCTTGTAGCTCCAGGTTCTGGCCAAGTCCCTGTTTCTGTGACCTCTTTGGTCATGTATGCGCACCGATTCACTGCGCCGGCATCGCCTTTCAGAAACCTTAGCTGACCTCCTGTCCAATTCCTCATGTTCGTCTTCATATGCATTTCTGTTCTTCCTTTCAGTATCCACGTTTCTAGGCACTCTCCACTCATTGTCATAGCAGTCTTCTGCACAGTTCCCTGTCTCTTCCTCCCAGCTTTTGAGGTTCTGTGTGAAGCTGCTGCGAGTGCTGAGACTTCTGTAATTCCTCTCTTGTGGGGGTCTAGAAGAGGCCTGCTTTTGAGGGGGGGCAGTGTTTCTGTGATACAAGCGCCTGGCCCAAAGAGAAAGCTGTTCAGTAAAAACTGCATCCAAGTCGTCTGAATCTTCATTAATAGTCTCTCTCAGTTCCGCCCCCCTGGTGTCTACCTGTCCTTGATTTGACCATGAATTTGTGTTGCTCTGAGATACTGCTCCCCTGGGAGAACTAGTCTGAGGCCCAGTTAACACAGAACCACGGTGAGAGGTAGAATGTTGCCACCTGGTGGTGACAGATAAGTACTGCTCCTCTCCTCGCAGAGGGCGACCGAACGTGTGCTGGTGAGAGGAGGGCAGCGCAGGGTCACTGGTGCTGCCTTCAGCATTGATAAACATGCAAACAAAAGCAATGAAGACGGGTGAGTCTGTTAGCGGATGGTGCAAGACAAGTAAAGTTAATACATTCTCTAAATAGCTTCAAGCAACATGAGTTATAACTAGTTTTAATTGCTTAAAAGGAATGTTTTTGGAAACCTTAAGGCTTTCCAAAGTGTTTGCATATATTAATATGCGCTAAAAAGTGCTGGCATGCTTAAAAAACAACTTTCTATAAAGAAAATGGATTTAGAGCGAGCCACTAAACTACAAATCTCTTTTGAAAAAAAGGGCATGCATTGTTAATGTTCGTGTGGAAAAAGGGATATTTTTATGCCATCACACTCCGATTCAGATATTCCACAAAGAAACTGAAACAAACATTTGTACTCTGATAAAAAAACAAACAAAATAAAAATAAATAATCACTGGATTTCTATTCATTTTTGCAGCTGAACATTAAACCAAGCAATATTGACTTAACTGTCTAAACCTAATTTACACCTAACCCCCCCAAAAAGCATTCCATATTTAAATATCGGTTTTTACATATCAGAGAGCTTGTAAGGAGGTAACAAAAACACAAATAAAACAATGAAATCACTATTAAATAATGGCAAGAATTAAAAAAAATGAACCTTCATGAAAATCCTCTTGGCTTTGGCTCCTTCTCCTGATCTCCTGCTCCTCCTCTTCCTGTAGCCGTTTAGCTATTTCCTGTAAAACCACAGAATAAAGTTTGCAAATTTACACATGGACACATAATATTTTTGGAGACAATATGTGTCAATAAAAAACAAAAATAATGTTTTTGGCCAAAAAGACATGCGTTGCATTTGGAGGAAAAAGAAGTAAGCTAGAAGCATTGTGTTGTGGAAAAGTTTTACTGCAGGAGCAGCTAAAGCATCGAGGAGCGTAGGTAATACAATGAGGTTTAAACCTTACATAGATTTGGTAAACCAACATCCTAAGATGTGGAAGTAGAAGCTTGTGTCCAAATGGACAGAACTGCTGTGCCTCATTATAAAGGGATTTGGTAAATATACATCCTTTTTGTAATCCTTACAGGAATAAATATATAGTTAGGTTCTCAATCCTGAAAAACTGGCCCTAAAAAGCTCCTAAAAAACATGTTGCAGGATCAGAAGTATAAAAAGCATGTCAGCCACAGAGCTAAATTTGTTGAAAAGTAAACAAAAGTAAAGTTTTTTGGGGAAAAATTTATTTTGATTTTGATCTAAAACTTGATTTTCTTATAAGACACATAACTTCTTTAGTGTAAAGGATTTTCATGTTAAATAAAGGTTAAACAAATAAATAGATTTTGGGAGGTATTTTCACAGAAATTCTATTTATAAAACTGACTGCCTTTTTCATACTACACACGAAAATTGCTAATATTTAAAACATTTATATGTATGTTCTATAAAACCATACTTCTCTGCTGCAATATTAAGGGCGTTTTTCTCCTCTATGTGTTTTTCTATAAATTACAAACAAACAAATGATGCTACAAAAGATTCACCTCACATTAAGATCAGCCAACAGGTGGCGCTATAGTATAGACTGTCACAAGAAACCAACTTGATGTGCTTTATCTACTTGTTTAAACAAGAACAAAAAACACATTATATATAATTAGTGTTGGGTTATTGTTTTACTCAACTCAGAGAAGAAGCAATTTTTTTTTCTTCTTTATTTTATATCTTCTCTGGAGACTGTTTTTGAAGTGCTGTGCTCTGATCTGGATGACGATCTAACCTTTCAACTCTCTTACTGCACAAGGGAGGAACTCACTTTTCACATATAAATAGGCTGGATAGTTACAATAGAATAAAAGTTTAAAAAGTCCACTGTAGGGTCTCCCTATGGAAGACTGCATCAGATGTAGGTACAGCTTTTCAAAAAGGGAATGACTGATTATCTCCTAAATATCAGTAAATTGTATTTGTGCATTACATGAAAAAACAAACAGCAAGCCCAGCTCCTTTTTGTCTGCAGTCAGGGCAACTTTACAACATCAGCACATCATTAGCAGTTTACCATGACAGGCCAGGTATGCAGAGCCACAGGGATCTGGCATTTAAAACTGCACACCCCAACACCTTCTGTTTCTTAATTAAAGACAACCTAATGGGAGGTAAACATTTGTCATCTATTTCAGCCAGTTATTAAATAAGGTATTAACAGAGCACCAGTGCTGATGATTTGCTCATTTGTTCATTTCAAAATGAACACAAACCAGACCATAAGGAAGGAAAAAGACCAACACCAACAAATCTCCAATTGCACACCACTGAAACTACATATTCAAATATGTATTTTTGTGAATAAAATGTATTTTGATCTGCTAAGGTCTAGAACAAGACTTTTGTGTATCTTTCCTTATGCTTTTTTCACAACTATTTGTTGTAATTTTGATCTTTCCTCCTGACATATCTACTGCAGCTGAGATAAGCGCTTTGTTGCACCCACTCCAAAACACTGACTTTGTCCTTCCCCAGCCACTTAGGAAATCATTTCCCTGTATCACAGGAGTCAATGTCCATTTGGAAAATCTATTTGTGTCAAGGTGTTGCCTTGAAATAAATCCACAGGCGTGCCAAGGGTTGTGAAAAACTTATCTGATGCTTCATACCTATTGCATCGTCATCTAAATGTTCTAATCTTATTTGAAGTCACGAAAATAAGAGTTTTTGTAAACTTCTAATTTTGAAGGTAACATGATTAAAAAACTGATAAATATTTGCTCACTCTCGTAATTCTCAAATTAGAAAAAATTATATTTTTGTAACCGTATTTAAAATGCTTCTATTAAGGCTAAATATTGTTAGCGAATTACGGTAAACTTCCAATAAAACTGAAAGTCATTGAGATGCACCTGCCTATTCTGTTATTTGAACTTATTGAAATCTTAAAACAAGACTGAAAGAAAAATTATTTTAATGAAAAATACTAAAGTAGGACACTGTCATTAATATGTTTATGAAAATCTCAGTTTTACTGAAGGCTTTTTTTTTGGTCTATTTTAACATCAAACTAAGTGCATAAACACTAATCTAAAAAAAAAAAAAAAAAAAGAATGGAGCTCACAATTTTGAAACAACACAGTTTTATATGCACCCCATAGAAAAAGAAAGAGAAGCATAAAGAAAACATAATGGTACAGTGGCCTTGAGGCACAGATTGCTGGGCCAGATGGTGAGGTTAACTGCGAAGTTCACTCCTTTCTTAGCATCTTTGCTTCTTACAATGTAGCTATTATTTTCCAATGATCTATAGTGGGCAATATTTCTTTTTATAGAAGCTCTTTTAAATAATTAATGCGAACATAAAGGCAAGTTTTAGGATTGGCCATCAGACAGAAGATGAAAACATCTGAGATGAGATTGATGGTTGCCATCTGCCTGCACCACCATATTCAGGCTGCAAGATCAGACATTCTGTCTCCTGTGGGACTTTTCCCTTTTTTTAATAACACACAAACTGTTAAGTTGCTAAAACTGACAAAGCATGAATTATTCTCTCACCATTAATTATTTATTAACGCAAAGGTTGTCCAGATTAGAAACATTGTGTCAAAAAAAAAACAGTGTACCTAATTGTTAAGTTAATTGCCCACCAATGTACATTTAACTTTAAAACCTTGCAACACCAACTGAGAATACTCTGAATTAGCCACCAGAGAAACTGCTTCAGCCATCATTTAATGAACACCTGACAGGTTTGACAGCCAAGACCTTTATGTGGTTTCTAAAAAACTTACAGCAAAGGTAATCGCTATTTTTTTTTTTTTTACTTTTAGTCCAACTTTTAAATGTGTCTGGAAACATGAGAAAGTTTATTAAATGCATTGTTTTGCAGCTCCAATTTGTTTTGTGTTTGTTTTCTAATATTAATAGCATAACCACTCAAACATCAGTTTCTGACTAAAGGATAAAGTACTTTTAAATAGTTTTGCGATGCTTAAAGTCATGCTTAATAAAGTACATCTTAAAAATTGAAAAAAAAGTTAAACTTTGCGAACAACTTTTTTTTTTTTTTTTTACATTTTGTCAGTAAAGTGAAGTTTGGCATTTAATTATAAAAAATTACTCAGAGGAATTAAACTCTCCTCCATGACATGATGGTCAGAAACGAAAGTTGCAGTTCATGAAAATTTGACCTGAGGTCAGCTACAATTGCAGCCCTTCCAGCTTCAGCATTAGTCTCAAACAGCATCTCTAAGCAGACTAAACACACAAGTTTATCATGAAAGTCACAGTTTTATCCAATTTCTCTTTGTCACTGGTAGGAAAAACCCAGCTGTGTCTGTACTTGAGGAGCCATCTACTGGTCAAAAGTATTATTACCTCTTTGCTGTCACAGAGACATTTTTATATTTTTAAAAATGAATCTAAGAGTCACTTTAAGTAAGGTTTAGGGGAGTACATGGCCTGGGGATCACCAGTTTCCCCTCTTTGCTCTAAAATATCTCCTCTCTGCATAAGATAAAAGTTTGTTCAACAATACTTAGCAACAGTTACTTTAACTAAATAAAAGTATAATATTTGTAAGATTAAAGCATGGGGGATTTAAGCATGCTTTGGCAAAGAACTGTTAGTGAGAACACAAAACTCACCTCATCATCTTGCTCCCTCCTCTTTGCCTCCTCAGCACAGCGTCGGAGGTCTTCTTGAATTGCCCGAGCATATTCAAAGTCCCGCTCCTCTCTGTTTAACAGGAAAGGAAATGGCTTCTTACACTGCTGACTTACCAAACGAATACACTGGACTAATAGAAAGCATGCCGCATGTGGGAACATCACTATAACATCTTTTTGGAGCATTACGGAAAACTGTTGAAACGTACATTTCAAAAGCTGTGGAAACTTACATTTGTCTGGAAACCTGTTTGAGGGCGCTCTGCTGAGCCCGCCGCTGCTGCTCCTCCTCATGCTGCAGCCTCCTGGCTATACGGATGTCGTTTTGCACCAGCTGATTCTTCTGGATATTGGTGGTATAGTATTGCTCAACTAAAGGCAATGCAAAGAAAAAGAATATATTATAGTAGTTTTGCCTGTCACCTTCAAATTCATCGTGAAATGTATTAAAACCAGACAGAAAGATCCTTTTAGTGCAAAGACTCAAAAAGTAAAGCAAAAGGGAGTCAAACCAAATCCAGATGATGTGCTACAACTGAATGTTAATCTAATGAAAACAGTTCAGTAATAAATTCTACTTCTTTAAAGCCTTTGTATTTTCAACTCTCGTTGGTATTGTAAAAGAGGGGGCCATTTTTCAGGCACTTAATAAGAAGCTGTCAAATGGGCAAGACTCATTTTATACTTACTCTCCTGCTCTTGCAGGCTGTGTGCCAGAACGCCATCCTCCAGCACAGCAAAGGTCTGGCAAACTGAAAGAAAAGACATCAGCAAAAGTTCAGGTCTCTACGAAGAAGAATTTAATGCTCAACAACAATTGAAAGAGGGAAAAGATGAGAGATATTCTAAGAGGTATAAGTAAAACTGAACTGAGAAAAATTGGCAATGGCCTCCATTGATCCGATCCTTCATCTTCTTTAATAAGGGTTAGGTTATAGTCCTAAACAAAAATATTCCTTAGGTAGATAAAATGTTTCAACTTTAATCTGTATCTCTCGCCCATTATGAAGGAAGGAATTCAGCAATTCTAAAAAGTGTGCGATCCTATTAAGAACCTAAATATATTTTAAGTCAAATCATTGTCAGAAAATTATGAAAATGAGTTTAAAGAAAATTGTTTGGAACACATTCTGCTGAGCCAGCATGGAGCTTGTCTTATAACATCTGTTAATCGGCCTACAGCCTCCTCTGTTGATTTAGTATGTGTAGAGATAATAGAATTTTGTACCAATAATAAAAGATGCTGCTCACAGACTACAGATTAATTATTAATATAATCTACAAATAAACTGAATAAAGAGCTCTGTGGGACATCTGCTGATAAATGGATTATATTTGCAGCTTCATATAACAGCATATAATAAATTACCTAATGCTATGGTAGTTGTGTAAATAGGCCTAAAACTGACAAGATTAATAATTAGAGTAAGTAATAATTTTGGACATTCAGAACCAATGTCCATGTTTCATCTTAACATGATCACTGGAGAAGAGGGTGCAGTTTTATAAAACAGCTGTGTGTGCTCTCTTCTCTGCTCTGCAAACCCCTATCAGCCAACTGGCTCTGCAGGACCCCTGCCATAGAGGTGTCCCTTGATGGGACAGAGGACATGGACAGAGGTTTCAGGTCTGGTACAGTTAGGGACAGAATCTAGTTAAACAATACATCTTTTAAAGACAAAGCTAACAGGATGGACTGCATGCTATGCTGCAGTAATAGGTTTTGAGCTGTTGCTGAAGCTTTGACAAGCTTTATTTTACTGAGGGTTTAAACACTAATACAACATTAGTGTTCATGTGTTCCTCAGATGCTCATTACATTTCGATTATCCAAGTATGACCAAGAGTCATTTAATGGAATCCTGATGTCTATTTGCTGCTAGCGATTTCAAAGGGTAAAGAATCCTTTGACTAAAGTTTACTGCTTCCTGATTAAGCAAATTATTTAATAAAATGTATCTGGCCATATAATGTTTTATTCACCTCATGGATTTACATTGTGAATTGGTTTAAAACCATTCAAATCACTCTAAATTAGTGAAAAGCTTATTTGATCATATCCCAAATTCTTCCAGATAAACTTTGGTTTTCAAACACAAAATCATCTTAAACTGTAATATGTTTTTCAAACATGCTTCCCGTCCTCTTTGTACATAGTAGTTTAGTTTAGTTTAGTTGAGTTTCACTAGTTTTAGTTTAGGTTTTTAGTTTTTAACTGAAATATGTTTGACTTGGAGCTGTTAATAAACTATTGTATTTTGAACAGAAGTTTTGGTGAAATTATTCCATCTATGTGCAGAATAATCTGTTTGACCATGATTTGTGCTTGATTCAGACTTTAATTTGTTGTTCTAACAAACGGCTCATGTGTTCATAAACATTATATGACAGTCCGGATAATATCTGATTAAATATGATATATCGATTATTGAAATAATCATCAACTAATTTAGTAACTGAATAATCATTAACTGGAGTGCAGAGACTCTAAAATGTGCCCTTAGCTGACAGATCAACCAATCCCTGAGCAGCAATTATAACAAATGTGTAAAAAACAAAATATGTAAACATTTTGCATTTAAAATAAACATCTTTTTCATCTGTCAATATGTTATATCCACAACCCCTCAAGTGGAAAACTTTTAAAACTTTTAAACTTAAAACTTTTAGTTTCAACTGGTTTAAGTTCTCAAAAAGTCTTTTAGAATTTTGGAATAATTTTTTAACAGCAATTAAAATCATTATTTTATTTTACTAAATTATGATTTGCTAGATTTTTATTCATCATTACTGTTAAGTTTTGTGTTTTTTTTTAGCACAGCCGTATGTTGTATTTTCTAAATGTACTTTATCATTTGAAATATTGTTCAACAGGAGCAAGGAAAAATCAATATTAAGAGTCTGGCGTTGCTTCAAGATAGCCTAAGAAGAGCTCCTTTTTTGCATGTGTCAAAGATTAGAAACCATCCTAGAGTCATTTACTTTATAAAAGTGTTTGTGGACTGCAGTTTCTCAATTTAAAACAATAATGTTTTTGCTGGGAAACTCCTGAAAAGTAAATGATGGCAGAAACAATAGATTGGATAAACAAATGCTAAATAAAATAACTACAACAGTCTACCTCTAAGAGAAATGTCTAATGAGGTCAATATAGAATCCTTCTAACCGTATAGGTTCTGCCTATGGCATAAAGGATAACACCTCTATAATTAGAATATTTCCTTTTTTATCCCCTTTGTTTGTTTAAAGATGTGGCTGAGACTAAATACAGAATTTTAGCCAGTCTGAGTGTTTACACATCTGTCAAACAAAGTAAAGAGTAAGTCCAGAGAAAATAAACAAACAGCCCCATTGCTGTGTTTTCTTCCTCTCCATTTCCAAAAAACCTATAACTCACTTTGATCTAATAAAAGTGCCAAACTAGCTACCGGGTTTCAAGAAAGCAACCTCCAGGAGGTTTCCATCTACAATAGAGGCTTTGAAATACAAAGTGAGTATACAAATGACAAGATTCAATGAAAGGGTGATATACTGAGCTTATTATGTGCAGACAGAAGGACCCATCTGTGCAGTTCACTCAGGAGTGAAACATCAAAGATTGGGATTTATTTTCAACGTTTGGTTTTTGCAACAACGCTGGCTATGTTTTACACTTCTACATTCACCGACAACTACAGCGGCCCAATACCACAGCCATAAAATGCAGACGAAAAAAGGGAGTCACATAAAACTAAATTAAAGAGAATGCACACAAAATTTAGAGGGAAAAGAAAACAACAACACAAAAATGGTCCAAGAGGGATTTTTTTTTAAGAATATCACATGTTCTTCCTGCTGTTATTGTTGCTTTCTGTTGTTTAAGGCCAAGCTTTTTTTGAGCATTTTGTCTTTGGGTTGTAGCGGCCTAATGGTTAGGGCATAGAGCTTGGAATCCTGAGGTTTTGAGTTCGAGCCCCACTTCCAAAGACTGCCACTCTGGGTATCTGAGCAAGAGTCTTAACGCCACACTGCTCCCCGGGTGCCCCACGATAACGGCCCACTGCTTCCCAAAGGGATGGGTTGAATGCAGAGGCAAATTTCTCCAATGTGAGATCAATAAAGTTAAATTAGTAACCCCCTCAGTCAAAAGTATTGATGACTGCCCAGAAGTGGAGCGTGCCGTAACTAATTATAAAATAGAAAGTATTTTATTTAATCTTTTAACTTAAGCATTTAATTCTTTGGCATGTTATTCTTTCCAACTCAATTAAAAAAAGAACATAAATATGTTGCCCAGAAGTTAATAAAGAATCAAAATAAATACAAAATAAAATCATATTATAAATCTGCCTTTATAAAACCGGAGCTCCTCTGAGTAACTCTCCTTTAATCACATTTAAACTTGAGAAATTGGAAACAAATTCAGAACAAAAATTATAGTCAGACTTGTTTTTATCATTTAATACATCTGAGCTTTCTTTGATCAGGTGCTGAAAACGCAGCTGATCTCAGGCTGTTCTCTACTTCCAGCCTGTTCATCTGCTTGGTTGGGATGTGTGTCAAAGCTGAAGGTGAACTCAAACATATAAGAAAAACTTGCTTTTTGGTTGAAAAAGCTTGTTTTTTTTATTTTTTAGTTGGGTCCACAAAGTAGAACAGTTGCCAGCCCTATTTTATTATATTACCTGAGGGATAAAATATTTTCACGTACCCCTTGCAATGCACTCATGGACCACTAGGGGTACGAGTACCTCCTGTTGGGAATAACTGGTTTAAGGAACCATAAAAATTTTAGTTATTTCCAGATTCACACTGAAATCAGTTTCTACATCTTCTGAATAATTGGTTTTACATTTCATAGTCATCTCCTTTTAGAACTTTGATTAAAACCAACAGCAGATATTTGTTTAGAGATCAAGGTGAAGTATATAAAAAAAGAATATTAAAAATCTATGTAAATAGATTTTTAATATTAATAGATCTAAATATCGTCTTATTCTGAATGAAAAATACTTTGCAGATCATAGTACCATAGAGGCTGTAGAAGAATAGATCAGAAAGGGAGGGGCGATGAGCATATGGTTTAATCATAGATGTCTTTTTCATCCAACATTGCAGCTACTTTTCTAATCTTGTGTGTGCCTATTGTTGCTAAGAATGCACGTACACTTGCAAAAAAGCAAAAATAAAAAGCTTGAGCTGTGGGGGATCAGCCTAGGGATCTGTTTACATCAAAAATGAACTCCCACATGCCGTGGAAGAGTTCCACTATACCAACAGAGACATTCCTTACCATTTACACCTGTTGTGGGGATTAGGAGGATATCCACTAAATGGATCTCAAGTCTGTCCATCGGCGTTGGAGGGGGAGAATTAAAGTCTTAGCTTTATCTGACAGGGCAATGTGACACAGTTCTGTATAAATGCCAGGAAGACAGAACAGCAGCAGGTGGGCAGATGGAGAGATGGAGTAAAAAAAAAAAAAAGTTTCTGGCATGCTCCTCCATGAGGGTGTGGTTGTGTCTGGACTGCAGTTTAACTTGTTTTTCCAAACTCTTTTAAAGTATGGCCACTTTACTGCTTCTGTGCAACAATGGCTGCTGAACAGGTTTGGAGAGAAAGAAAGTGAGGCATGCAGGCCTGATGGTAAAAGAAGGAAAACATATGTCCAGGGCGACTACTGTAAGCTTCTTAACAACGGCTGCTAACAGGCCTGCATCTGTTTTCTAAGAGGGTATTAAGTCAAAAAGCTGTCAGAAAACAGAAACAAGGT